CGGGCAACAAGCCAGGTGGTCAATTCCTGTCACAACCAACGGATCAACATTTGGTTGATCTGGAAAAAAAAAGTGGATCCTGCATCTGTGGGAAAAACGTTAGGAAGAAAAAAAATATTGTTCTTGGTGTTGTTTTTAACGGTTGTGAGCTGCCCAGAGTCACATATGTGAGATGGGTGGCTATATAAATAGAATGAATGAATAAATAAATCTACATTGCCCTGGGAATAACATTAAGAACTTTCAGGATCATGTAGAATTAATTGATTCAATATTTAAGGGTGCTCTAAACTTTCCTGTTTTTAGGAAATTCTTAAACACTGTCTTTTATTTCTATTTATACTTCATATTTTAGGACTCTTATAGTAGCTTCATTACCGAGGGTTCATCATGAACTAAATAAAAGGCCTTGGATCACATCTTTCACCTAGTTTTCAGGCAGAGCAGAAAATATTTTCTTCTTTCCTATATAGGACAGCAACATCTGATACAGAATTTGCAGTTTCCGCTTTTAATAGGCTTACTGTCAGGATCCTGATATTAAAAAAGATGGCAGTTTTAAATGTTCTGGATCCAAATTGTCTGTTACCAATACAGATTATAAAGAGACATCCAATATTTCTGAGTTAAATGATACAGATTACTGCTACCAACTGATAGATAAAACTATGAAGGCATATATACAATCAGGTTTTTTTCTACTGGCTTAAGCTAGAACACATTTTAACACAACTGGAGATCAAACATAATGCTGTATCAATAGCTTTTTAATATAATCCCAGGTTACCTGGCTTTACTAACCTTTTAACTAAGAAAAAAGCCCCTTTCCTTTTATTAAGAGAGAAATAAGTATGTTTTTACAAGAGAAGGTTTTTTAAAAGTTGGCTGTCAAACCTTCTATTATCAAAACAGCATGAAGAGACATTGCTTGGAAAGATGTTCTCATGGAAGCTCAAACTCAAACTGACTTTGCTATCTTCTTCCCAGAAGCAGCAGATTTTCTCAAATGTTACATGGCTATGCCCAATTCTGAACGAAAAATATTACCAGGTTTAAAGCATTGCAAGAGACATCTCTCAGTCCAATAGAATATATTTTAGTTATGGCCTTACTCTCTAAATTGGCAACAAAGCAAGAGTTAAATCTTGTGCAGTTACCAAAAGAATACAATTTTATTAAGCCTTCCTGTAAACACTGGACTAAGGATAAATGGATAGTTTCTCTCTGCTAGATCAAGTTAGGCAACCCTCATGACCAACTGAATGTCCCTAAGGATGTTTTTTCTTTGGTTCAAATATAGCTGGGCAATGATAGACTTTGTACCGCTGTGGAGGGTCACATAGGTGAAGACAAATGATCACTGAAAGTCAAGTCAGGGAATGTTTTAAGTTGGAATAATAAGTTTTATGACCAGGAGTATTATACTTACCTGCAGGCAATTTATATTATCTACTTGAAAGAAATTTGGGCTAAAGAAAAGACATTATATTTCCAAAGAGTTCATTTACTAGTTACATCTGTGAGGAAAGTGGTGATGAGAAATTGACTAAGGATGATATTGTTATCTTCACTATCACTTGATCTGAACATCAGAGTCTTCAGTATATCATCTCTAGTCTGCAACTCAATCCAAAAAACTCAAAACCATGATTTGTCCTTACATCTTTTAATTTGCATTAACCTCTATATTCTTCCTTCTAGCTCTGAAACACTGTTAGGTGAAATATAGAGATTAATATATTACCCAAATATTTTGGGTAAATAGACTGTTGTGATGGATAGATATGACAAAGAATTCTTAATCAGTTTATACGATTTGTGGTACATATGACAAAAAAATTCCTAATTCAGTATGTAAAATTTGTAGAGATTTTAATGCTAGGGTTGGCTCCATACAAGTGAGTATCAGAGCAATAAATTTATAAACTTATAAAGTTATTAGAGCCCCTACTTGTAGTCATCACAGGATAAGAAATAAAGCAGGAAGATCCATCTTTTTAATGTCCATGGTACAAAAAAGGAGCAAACTAATGGAATATGCAACTTGATAACAAGCAGAAGGCTAGTACAGTTGATTACATCAGCCTCTCCCCTCCTTAATGCAGTAAGTGGCTACTTGTAAGGTTGAAACCACAATTAAAGTGATCACCTTCCTATCACTTTTGCTCTGCAGCTTCTCCATTTGCAGCCATTGGTAATATGGAGGGGTTATGCCTAGAAGAATGCAAAATCAAGCATTCAAGGATTGTGGGCCACTCCACAGCCATTGAGCTGGGCAGCCTAATATGACAGGTCTTTAAACATCTTATCATCACTTTGATTCAAACACCTTTAAGGTGAAAGAAAAGGAATTTGCCAAGTACCAAAGAACAAGCTTAGCTATGATGGAGAGAAAAAACGCTCAGTTTTACTGGACTCACAGGATTAGGAAAGTCCAAACCCCATCTGAACCCCAAATTTTTACTAATGATGGAGCACTATGTTTTAGAAACAAAATTAGTGTTCATCTGGAAGATCTCAACTTTCATCAAAATTCCTTTACTGCAGAATGGGAAGTTCTTGCTTCATGACAATGTGTTACAAATAAAGTACTGAAATTAATGTTGCTCCACATTCTAAATAAGCCACAGGGAAAGATATATGCCTGCTGAAGAATTCAAGTACTTTGCAAATGGGGGTCACCATATCTTGCTGAATTGTTTGAATGTATGACTGCATCAGATATACCACCATTGGACTTGGACCTTGACATTCCTGTTTACAGAAAAGGTGGCAAACAATATGCAAATAATTATTTCTTATCTGATGTCACAGCTAAGACATATTCTTGTCTGTTGCTGGGGAAGTTGGAGGGGGGGGGGCAAACAGGCTTTAGAAACAGACACAGTACCCTTGATTACTGTCTAGTTTTGTTCCATCTTATTCTAGATGGTTTGAGGAGCCCCGCAAATAATGTATATATGGCATCCATCAATTTTGAAGCTGTTTTTGACTTGCATAGTGGAAGATTAAGGGATAAGCCAATGGCAACAAACGTAAATAAGCTTCTCTTATTTCTCATCCAACAATTCTCTTGAAATATTCTATAAAAATAAAGATACAGATTTTTTCCCTAGCTTCACAATATCCCAATTTGATGGAACAAAGATAACTTCTGACACCTTAAATCTTTAATTTATATATTAATTATATGGTTTCCTGTTGTCCACTGAGGAGCTTTCTCCTGTTTTCATTAGGTCTTGAAAATTTTTATTCTATACAGATGGCATTTCCTCACTAACAAAAGTTGGACTGAAGAGAATATTATCTAGGTTTGGCTAGTACTGCAAAGGAAAAAAAACTCAGTATCAATCATGCTTGCATACATACATACATACATACATACATACATACATTTTAAAACACATACAAACATATGGCCAAAATGCTGTAGTCTTTGCAAAGATCTCCTGCAGAACAACTAATTAAATCAGTGGTTTTCAAAGTGTGGCCTGGGGACACCTGGGGGTCCCCAAGACCCTTTCAGAGGGTCCACTAAGTCAAATAAATAAATATTTAAAAAAATTTCAATTTCAATTTCTAATATAGTAAATATTGATAGATATAACCCACATAAACCAAAGCTCTTTGGGGTCCTCAATCATTTTTAAGAATGTAAAGGGGTCCTGAGACCAAAATGTTCGAGAGCCACTGCATTAAATAAATACTTGGACCTTTGTTTAAGTGAGTCTATGTCTTTGCATGTTCATGCAAATTATGTAAAAATGGAACAGCAAAGATAATGGAGCTTTTCCTTACATTTTATTATACAAAAAAGGGAGAGCAATTTGAAAACCACTCCAAAGCTAGTTTTTATCTCAAATGCTGTTTGTGGATGAAATCTAGGGCTGAATAATCATTTAATCCAAATTATACAAAACCAATATTTAAAATGTTTATTAGTACTTCTATCAGAAACTCCAATCAACCTTCCTTAAACAGTGCTTAGCCTACTTTCAACAAGAACTCAGTTGGTCCTGATTAATTACTGTAAATACATCTTACTGAGGAATATTAGGTTTCTGGTTAATTAATATTCTGAGGTGTTAAAACATCAGAAGAGATGGAAATCAACACCTAGTGGCATATTCTAATCATATTCTCTTCCAACCATGTATAATGTTTGTGGTGAATTATCCTAGGAAATCTAGGAACTGGACTCTTTTGTCTGGCATGCCATTAATCTCCAGGGTCACACCACAACACGATAGGTTATATAATAAAACTTCATGCAAATTGTGCCAGGGTTTCACAGTCTAGGCTCTCAAACTATGCCCACAGCTGCAACCAATGAGAAGCAAGAAAAATCTTATTGAAACTAAGGTTTTTCATGTACTGCTAACCTCACACTGAGACTCCTTATAGGTCTTCCTTATAAGTCTTCCTTATAGGGTGAGAAAACCCCTACTCACTGACTCTGTTATAATAGCAAGCAAGGAATGACTTTCCAATCTCAAATCAAGAGGATCACTGGGAAGATTCTGCACCGAGGAAGCAGAAAGGATGATGCAAAGAGGATTCTAAAGTGAGAAGTGCTAACTGTTGTATAGTGAAAAGTGGCACTGTATCAGTCAAGCTTTCCCAATGTGGTGCTCTTTAGACACATTGGACTTAACATGCAATGGCCACTTTGGCTCAGAATTTCTTAATTATAAACCAGAAGGCATGGAGAATGCCATATTGAGAAAGGTTGGTGTAATATCTGAAAAGTGATAGCCATACTTTTCCAAGATACACCTTTCATTTCAGCATTTTTAAAACCAAAAATTTGCTTTTTTTGGAAGTAAAGTTATTGAAAGCCCAAATAATCTAATTTAAAAAAATTACAGTTAAAAAGGTTGGAAATTATATATATCAGCTTCAATTAGCTTCTCCTTTATAAAACAACAACCTTCTTCTTCTGCAAACATCACTAATTGTTTTTAACTTCAGAGGAGGTAGCAGTTCTGTTTCCAGCTTACCATTGCTTATTTCTGGTAAGTCAAATTTAGTGAAATCCCACCACTGAAGCCGGTATGTGGTGTTCGCAATATTACTGGCCACAGCAGACTGTCCATCTCCAATCACAGCCCCTAGGGACAAAATGAAGAAAAGAACAGTCAATCAACCTTTCAACTTCAAAGGAATGATACTCAAAACACACTGCTAATAGATTTAAAAACTCAGAAGTCAAGTTCCAATGACTAGTTTTCTTGGTTCTTAGCAAAATGAAAGACTCATGAAGCTAGAAGGAAAGAAAAAAGACATATTAAATGCTATCAAAATGTAAGATCAATGGAAGTTCTTCAGTCAAAATGATTTTAATGTATTGTTTTGATGTTCTTATATTTTAAGGTTTGTGCATCATTTGATTGTTGTAAATGAAAACCTTTGGGTAAATATGTCAATTTAGGATATTAATTGGAATAAGAATAATAACAAGCAACAATAAAGATGTTAAATAATGATTCATCAGTGATATCCAAGGAATTATGGCACAGGTACACAAAAATGCATAACAAATAACACACATTAACTCTATTCAACATAAACCTATGGGTGTGGGAGAAGGACTGTGGATATGGAAGAAGAACTAACCAAACTAGAACCACTCTCAATTTCAAAAGCAACAAATCATATCCCTGCCATCCACATCTAGAATTCACATTTCTGCACAGAAGACTGCTTCACTGCAACGATTTTTACTGCAGATATGAAGGCCACAAGGAGGAGCAATATCAGGGATGAAACTAGTCAGCATGGCCCCTCTCTCTCCTCTCATATTCTTTCAATGCATGAAGAACACTTCTAAGTAGAGCTAATGTTGTACCAAAATCACAGGACCATGCTCTCTAATGCTTTGTTCCTTTGGTTACAGAACAATTTATCTATATTATGCCAAATCCATTATACCATAAATTTTGATGGTAACTTAGTTACTCTGATTCCTGATGTTTTCTAAATAATTTAGTACTGCTTGCATTAGAAGAATGAATATTGTAACAGAAAAAACAACTAATTGATATGATGCAATGACTCTGAAGTTGACACGGAAGTTGCCTCATTCAGTCATGTATTTGTCTGAATCACTGGGTCCTCATGGCATCTATCCAAGAGTTCTTAAAGAACTCAAATGTGAAATTACTGCTCTCTTAGCAAATCTGTCCCTCAGTCAGGCTCCTTGCTAGAGGACTGGAAAGTATCCATTGTGGCATCAATTTTTAAAAAGGGATCCAAAGGAGAACTGGGAAATTATAGAACTGGGAAATTATTATCTAAGCACATAGAGGAAAAGTTGAAGGAAAATCAACATCAAGATGACAAAATAATCCTGTCTCACCAAGCTGCTAGTTTTTTTTTTTTTTAGTATAAACAGGCATGTGTATGGAGGTGACCCCATTGATAATACAGTATATATTTGGATTTTTGACAAACATTTGACAAAATTCTTCATCAAAGGCTTTTGAGTAAACTTAGCAGTCATGGAATAAGAAGAACTGTCATTTTATGAATTGCTACTTGGTAAAAGAAAGGAAAGAACAGGAATAATGGGCAATTTTCTCAGTGAAGGGATAATAAAAAGTGGAGACCTTCAGGGATCTTGTTTGGGACTACTAATGCTTTTTAACTTGTTTGTATGTGATCTTGACTTAGGTGTAAACTGTGATCTATTTGTAGATTATCCTAATCTACTCAGGCTGGTAAAACTAAGAATAACTATGAAGAGTTCTTCACTGGGGGAAAAAACTGTGCATATATGTTGATGAGGTCTGAGCTGTTTGTAACTAACCAAGAAAAAAATCTTGAAGTCACAATTAAAATGCTGACTCAGTGTGCATCAGCTATGAAAAGGCAAACTTCATGCTAGGGATAATTAGGGAAAGTTTAAATAATAAAGCAACCAGCACTGTAATCTCTTTATACAAATGTATAATAGATCCACATCTGAAACACTGTACAGAGTTCTGTCACCATGTTTAAAGAAGAGTATAATGGAGATGGAAAAAGAAGAAAAGAGGGAACCCAAAATGATCAGGGGGCTCAAGCACCTTCCCTATGAGAAAATGCTAGAATGTTTGGGACTCTTAGCTTGGAAAGAAGACGGCTGAGAAGGGACATGACTGTGGTGTATACAATCATTTATGCCATGGAGAAAGTGGACAGGGAGATATTTTTCTCCCTCACGAAACACTAGAACCAGGGTCATTCAATGAAGCTGACTGGAAGGAGATTCAAAACACAAAAGAAAGCATCACAATGAACCTGGTGAATTCATTACCACAAGTCATGTTGATAGCTGCTAATTTCGATGGCTTCAAGGAAATTGGATAAATTCCTGGATGACAGCTTTATCAAAGGTTATTAGCCTTGGCATTCCATGTTATCCCTGGGCTGGAGGGAAAGTCATGGCTCTTAGCCTGTTCCAGGATGGCTGTCCTGATGTTCTCATGTAAGAAAGCAGGATAAGGCATAGGGCATACTTTTAACTGCCCATTCACCAGGAATGTGATACTATATTTTAGTAAGCCGAACTTATATATCAGCTTTCATCAACCTGAAGTTCTCCTGATGTGGAGCCTCAGGTTGAGGTAAAAAGAAATATAGCTAGAGGCTTTCTAAATGTGATGACGTCTCAGACTGATATATATGTATGAGTGAGTGTGTCTGTGTGTGTGGTCACACACACTTTTGTATGTGTGCATATTATAAAACCTTCTTCAACATGGAGCTACAATACATCTGAACAAGATCTAGAAGACAAATACAACAGATCTGGAAAGGGTGTAGGGGTGTGCATGTATGTGCACTAGGAAGCAAGCACAGGAATTTTAGCTAACTGTAAATTCTGCTTGCGGAACTAGGCTGCGGGAAAACAAAACTAACTGATGTCATTATCTTTAATGTGCTTTCTCAATAAATATAAAAATTTTAAAATTCAAAAGTTGCATTATGTCATTCATCAAATCCTATGAGCCCACAGAAAGCCCCAGTGATAAACACTCAACAAAGGAAACTTGCAAGACAATATCCTTGATCAAACTCCAATTAAGTAAAGATTTTCCTACAGAATGAGAATCTTTGAAAATTAGATTTTACTAGAAAGGAAAAATGAGAAGTTTAGGTTGTTTCAAATTAGTTGCCTGTCTTACTGTATACCACTTTAAAGAGCCAAACACACCAAAATAAAAATCAGGTAGAACAAGTTAGTGTAAACAAGTGAGAAAATCCAATAATCATCTAACCAGAAGTTTTCTGATGTGACTTATCTTCCCCATGTCCTTCCAACCTGCTCTTAAGGACTCTTCAATCCACCAGAGCAGATTATGAAACTATACTGCAATTGCAATACCCCCATCCTGCCAGTATTTCACAGAGTCTTGAAGACCTGGTTCTTCACTCAGACCTCTGGCAAGAGTGACTGAAGCCCCATTCTGAGTAATGTAGGTTTATTTGGTTGTTACCTAATTTGTACCAACTTTTGTTCTTTATTTTTATTACTGCATTATTCTATTTGTGTTTTTATTTGTAAACTTCCCAGAGTCACTGGGAGTTGGGTGGTGTAAAAATGAATGAATGAATGAAAGATTTAATAATAATGTATTAAACTTGTATGCTGTCCAACTCTCTTGAAAAACCTGGATCTCAAACAAGCTCTTTCTAATCCAGAGTTTCCAGCACTTACTGCTAATAATGAAGACACTGGAAATTGTCCTTTTTCCCTTCAGCTGTTAAAACACTATTCCTCATAATTGTAATCATCTATCTTTAAAAAAATCAACACTTCAATGCCCTGCTACTTCTTTAGACTTTTTTTTTTAATACTTTTTACTTGTGCAGGAATGGGACCTCCCCCCTGCACCCAATCCAATCTTGACCAAAGGGACAGATCAAGGAACTTACTGATGAGTAAAAAGGAAGAAAGATGGCGAAACTGAAATAAATTTTATAGTGCCATCTCTTAGGTTTGTAACATAAGGCATGTGACCATGGAAATCAGCCTTTACTCCACTGGAATCTATCTCATAAGTAATAAGTAAAATTACTACATATTAAAAAGGAAAAAAATAGTCATACAAAAACTACTCATATGCAAGATATACATAGCAAAGATAATAATAATATAAACATACTCAAAAACACAGAAAGTTATTAAAAAGGATCTCCAAAGAAAAAAGTAAAAATTAAGGCTCTGAGCAGACGTAAGATGGTACTAATCTATTATTGCCATCACATTATCACTGAGCTCACATAGAGAAAAATACAGATAGTCCTCATTTAGCAACTGCCTCGGACACCAACCGTTCGCAGTTAGGACAGTGATGAAAAAATAATTTTGCTACCAATGGCCGTATTTATGACCTTTGCAGTGTCCCTCTCTTTCAGTCATGTGTTCACCATTACAGTCAGTATGTGTTGTCCTGTGCCTGATCCAGCCCCCCCAGAGCAGAGAGATTGCCTAAACAAACTATATCTTTCTGAGCTGCTTTTCTCCCAAGCACAGTGCTTCCCTAAAAAGTGCTAACCACAAGCTAACAAGCTCAGCTCTGTGACCTTAATTAGTTTGACCAGCTCCCAGCTGCTGCCTGAAATTGACAAGACCCTAATCAGTTTCACATTAAAGGCTTTTGTTTGCCTACTGAGCTGCTTGGTGGCTTGTAGCTCCAAACTGCTAAGCAAACAGCAGGCACTAGCACATTCCTTTCAAGGTATATTCCCCGTTGTGTACCTGCTGGAGTTAGCATTCCAAAGAGTGGGGGAGTGGGGGAAAAGAGCTATAAGATTTGCCCTTTTACCCAGCTTCCTCATGAGTCAAGTTCTGGAAACCTTTCCCACTGTTTGGACTCACCCAACTGTTTGGGGTTGTATCCTTGTGACACTGTAAAGCAAAGGAAAGCTGAAGTAAAATTGTAAGCACACTTTTGGTCATATGATTTTTCATTTAGTGACTTCACTTAATGACCAAATTGCTGGTCCCAACTGTGGTCGCTAAACAAGGACTACCTGTAAAGTAAATAAAAAATCTAACTGCAGATTCCTGGCTAGATATTTATCCATACCTTAGAGACAAAATATCAGTATAACAAATAATTCC